ACCTTTTTATGCAAAAATACATCCTCATTTCTTTAAAGGCAAATTATCTTTAACGAATGAATACGATGTTTTGTATATTATTAGCTTAGTCTTTTGACTCTAACTAAATGAAGATGCTCACTTTGGCTCTCCAATTATAGATTGAGACATGATAGAGGCCTTGTAAAGAGGAAGATGGTTTGAGAGAAATATGGCAGCTTCTCAAAATCAAGTATCCCCATAGCCAACATGGCTATGCAAGGAACTCCACACAAGTATAGATTTTAAAAGAATAATTAATGAAGACAGAAGGAAGAACATTCTTAACTGAGAATTAAGGTAATACTGACCTCTGTTGTCACAACTTCCCATGCCATACTAGCTATGGGAGCAGTTAAGGCATAATGACAACCACACATTGGCCTCTGAGTCTTTATTTAGTTTTGATACTGTGCTCCCAAAGTGTCTCTCTGTTCTACTTCTTGTTGTTTTATTCTGCTGCTCTCACTTTCCATACTTTTCTCAGTCTGGAAGGAGAGTTCATGCTAAGTGATTATGGCTCATTCAGCTAATGGTAGATGGTCTGGCCTTTAAAGTGATCACAGTTCTTTTGGTTTTGTAAACTAATTTCAAAGAGTTTAGATTTTATTCTGAGGCCACAGGGAAGTCATTAAAGACTTCTAAGTCAGGAAAGTAAGGTTATCTTGTTTTGTTTTTAATTTTACTCTGACTATAATGTGGCGAACGGACTAGAAGTTAGAAATAGTAAGATAAGTAGACACAGATACCAGTCAGGAAATCATTATTATAGTCCGGCTGAGAAATGGTAGAGGCCCAGAACTAAAACACTGCCAGTGGGCTTGGAGAGAAATGGACGGATACAAAAGATATTTAGGAGGTAGAAGCAATAAGACTGAAAAACGGTGTAAACTCCATGATCGATAGATGTCACTTAGCCTCCTAACACTTAGTCATTTTAACGCTCATCTAAGAGCTGTTCAAGAATTGTTAAAGTCCCGATTAAAAAAATTGTTAAAGTTTATTTATCAAATCAACAGCGAATAATTATTTGAGGGAAAACCTGCTACATACAGCATGATCAATAGTAATGGTAACATTTTCTTCTTTAGTATGTCAATGAATCTAATAATCCTATAAAGTCTTGCTCCTATATTTCTAGTATATAAGATATAGAATGAGGACACACACACAACAAATATTTATTGACTGGGCAACACATTGTTCTTTAAAAAAATGAAACAAAAACACACAGAAGAGCAGGAAACTGACAGATTGCAAAGAGAAAAGAAATATTTTCTATAATGTATTTGGAGCTATGAAAGTTATTAAAGTATAATACTTACCTCAAAAACTTTCCCAACAGCTGAAACTAATTTTTATGCCTACGAAAGATACTGCATGGTGGTGAAACCTATAAAGTTCACTGATTTTGAATATTCAACAATGTTCACACGAATATCCTATTCAAAATATCTCGAAAGAAAAAAGACTGTGCAGTCAACTATTTGAACTAGTGGAATAACTGATGCATAAAGAAGAATAAGCAAAAATGACACTTAGACATATAAAGGAATCTTATTTTCTCCTGTGAAATACTGAACTTAAATTTAGGAATTATTAATTAATCTTGCTTATAAGGAGTTTTTAAAACTGATGATCTCAGAGAGGTTAACAAGGAAGAGATTTTTAATTCTGAAAATAGAAATGTTTCCAATTTACATGTATCTTCATGTCAATATATAGGACATTTATCATGCATATCTTTAATATCATTAGTTGAGTAAAACATAATATGAATGACATGAATAATTAATAGAGCAGCATCTCATAGAGCTTACCCAATTGTGCTTTCATTAATTTGAGTTTTATTACTTTGAAAAAGGTCTTAATCTATACATCAACCCCTTTTGTTTATTTCCATTTCTTCCATCCTTTAGAGGATATCTGAGGAAGGCTTTTGGTATGTGCATTTGTTTATGCTACACATGCCCAAGAGATCTCCCAAGATGAAACTCGGAGCTCATTTGGAAGTAATTTCTGGTAGTACATGAATCAGAACTCTTATTTTCTTCTCAGCACTACTGGTATTTTATTGCTTCCATCTATAGTCCGGTATGCTTTTAGCGCTAAGAGCCCTGAGGCCAAACACACAAAGCACTAAGAAAATGGGAACTTCTGGCGATTACAATTTTTGTGTCTCTTTCAGGGTTTTTCCCTCCCCTGGGAAAGTGAAATCACTTTAAGCTCACTATGAAACAGGAACATGGTAAGCACAAATGACTGACTGAAGTCGGTGATGTTGATTTAGGAGTGTTCGGCTTATAGGTCAGGTGTAAAACCCTTAAACCTGCTTGTCAAAGTCTGCCTGTCAAACTTGTATGGGTTTTTCCACGCTCTGCCCAAATGTCACATTCTCTATGAAGGCTTCTCTGGCCACCTCTGGCAGGGCTAGGCAGTTCCTCTGCTGTTATTATAGCAGCACTTGATATAGTCCTATGGCAGCACTGATCCAATTATTCCACATTTACTTGTGTGTCTCCCTTCATTTGTGGATAGAAACTATTCTCTTCCTTTCATCTCTGGGCTACAGCAGTACTGAAATCAAGCTGGTTCTCAATAAATTACAATAAAATGGATAAACAGAGAATAATATTCTCCATCTGCATAGCATAGGCTACAAGGTGTTTTCACATAGAGGTAAGGAAGACATGGTAGGAATTATCTGTTTTTTATAGATGAGGAAACCAATGCCCAGAAGGGTTCCACAAACAGCCCGAGTTCAAAATAGCTAAGAGGCTGTGTACTTAGTTCTCATGCCAGTAAACTGATAACAATTTGTAGATAAAAGTGGTGTAGTGTTGACAGAAGTGGTGTAGAAGTTTGCAATAGTGTTCTGTAAGACAGATGGCAATGGCTAGCCAGGACGCAGTGTGGGAACTGGTTAACTGTTCTGAAAGCTCTGAAACTCAATCTCAGCCAGTTTTCAAGAAGTTAACCTACATGCACACAGAACTGGACTTCAGAATATCAACTTCTTTACAATGAGAACGACTGGAACCTACATGCACACAGAACTGGACTTCAGAATATCAACTTCTTTACAATGAGAATGACTGGTTGACAAATTATTTCTCTGTACTCAAGCTACATGAACAATGAAGCCAGTAGACAAAAAATATATCCTGTTGATGCATACAATATAATGACTGTACCTCTGAAATTGTGACCATGACCCGTAGTCTACTGAAGAAGAATAAATTCTTATAAACCAGCAGTATAATCCCTTCATTTTACTAAACAAACAAACTAGGTAGCTAGAAACGATATGAATTACTTAAAGTCACATAGCTTGTTAGTGACAGCATCAGGACACAGAATTACGTCTTCTTAAGAATGATATCCTTACATTTTTAAAAACAAGTTATGATTGAGAAATAACACAAGTATAATACTTAGCCAGCCTTCTAAGCATCTGGTAATATGACTAGACAGGCTGTCACTTAGGAATTATCCTGAAAGAAATGCTGCAACATGGAAGCAGTACACTTAAGTTCCACCCTGTGTCAGTACACTAAGTACTGGGGAGGTGGGGGGGGGGGCACACAATGTGATAGACAGTGTTTTTACAATCCAATCCCTGTTAAAACAAAGTACTTTTTAAGAGAGATTGACAATACAGATTATATTTATTTCCATTGACCTGTAGACACCAATGTTACAAAAATAATTTATTGGATTTATCTTTTCAATAGTCAACTGAAGTCATATTTTCTATTCCCCATTCTTTTTCAGCATTTTTTTTTTTTACCTTTCGAGAATAATCCAAGTAGACATAATGGTATTCATACGTTCATGTCATATTTATAACTTTTAAGTTTTGAAAAGTTTGACTACTCACTGTCACTAGAATACATCTTACTACTTAGTGGCCAACTAAAAAGTTAAATATGATCTATTTTGAGACAAAGACCAAAAACCAAAATAAGCTCATATTCTCAGCAAAAGGAAGACAAATGATTATAAAGTTTTTGGTTTAGTTTCTATTAACAACACTAGGATGTGTTCTGGGTTACATGTCCTAACTCAGCTGGTAAAAGCAAATGCAGACTGTGGAAGTCACATCAAAATCAAATGATTTCAAGGGGTAACAACATTAATTAAGAGAGGGAGTCTTATTTAGCAAATGACTGCTTAGGGGATAGAAATATAATTTCTATGCTTGGTAAGTCCTCAAACTGCAATGGATTAGTTTGCTAATTGATCTTCCTGCTGGAGATAATTCCTAGAATTCTGTCTTTAAAATATGAATTTTTACCTTCTAGTTTGATATCAACTATTGTACATATATTTCCATACTATCTACTATCAGAATCAGAATCTGTGGTCTTCCACTCCTTCACTTGCTGTAGAGGAGAAGTATTTCCACAAAATTTATATAACAAAGCTTTTGCTCCCCTCTGGCAGCATAACTGGCACCATGTTGCCCACCTCCTGTTAATGCTAATATTTACTATTATCTGTAAGACTTATGGTTTGAAACAGTAGCCCATATTTGGAAAGGAACTTTAGGTATTCAAGGTTACTTACATAGTCCAATTTAGAATCAGTTTCTCACATAGACTATGAAAGGAACTTGTTCATAAATCACAACATTTTAATGTACTCAGTAAAAGATGATTTTAGATATTAATTTTTAAGTTAGGTCAAATTATAATATTACAGTGTATAAAACTCAGGTCATTACAGTACCAATTCATTCATTTTCTATATAATATTAGTAGAAAAATTCCTATGTATACCCAAAGTTGAAGATAATTCATTTAGGTCCCCTTTGTACATTAAGCCAGCCAACAATTTTTATCCATGTCACAGGTATAAAATATTTGTCAATTCCTGTTAAAGCACTCTAACATGAAATCCGTATGGTCAATAGGTACATAAAATGCCAAAAGAAGAGATTATTTCAAGAAACAAATGTAGTTTTCAGATGTATTACTCACCAGAAACAAAGTTCGGAAGTTGTTGAGATCACCAAAAAAGTCTTCCATGATCACTGTCTTAGTATCAAAAATAAAGTATTCTCCAAGATTCTCATACAGCTTTACCATGTTCTTGTGCATAATGGACAGTTTGTCATATTGGTCTCTGGCAGTCTTTGTAAAGCTGTAGCTTTCTGTTAAGGAAAATGACCCAGTAATATCTCACAGGCAATGACTAGATGTTAAGATTGAAATATACCATCATTTCTGTAAATACTTATGTATTAGTTTGTTAGGGTTTCCCTGGCAAAATGCGACAGACTGGGTAGCTTAAATAACAGAAATTTATTTTCTCACAATTCTGAAGACTAGAAATCTAGTATCAAGTATGTTGGTAAGTTCGGTTTCTTTGGTGGCCTTTCTCCTTGGTTTGTAGATGGCTGCCTTCTTGCTGTATCTTCACATGGTTGCACGTCTGTGCTGTGTGTGTCCCAATTTCCTCTTCTTATGAGTACACTACTCATACTGGATTAGGCCTCACCCTAAGGACCTCATTTTAACTTACTTCCTTAAAAGTCCTAGCTCCAAAACACAGTCACCTTCTGAGGCTCTGGGGGTTAGGGCTTCAACACATGAATTTGGGGAAGGGGACATAATTGAGCCTGTAACAACTTGATCTCACTAACCAATATAATGACTCCCTCAAGTTGTTATAAATTAAACAGAAGTATTTAAGGTATAACCATGCGGAACATGTTTGCTAAATGAAAGCCCAGTAGTATGAATACCAGCAAACCGCCTCCTATCTTTTTATGAACAAAGTGAGGTAGAAACAGACAGTAACAAAAAACTTAGGGAAGTAACAAAAAAATTAGGGAAGAAAGCCTATATATTCCTTTTTTTTGTATGCATATTCTATATAGATACAGATATAGTGAATTCTATATGTAGGTTGTAATATATATGTGTGTGTATGTGTATACATATATTATATAAAACCCAAGGAGGAGGGAGAGATATAGAGACAAAGGGAGGAAGGAAAAAGGGAGAGAGAGATTCTGCTGTTAAAACCCAGACTGCTGTTTACAGAGCCTGAGCCCAGGGGCCTGAGGAGTATAATTCTTACCGAATTCCTAGGTGATGCTGAGTTTTCCAGTCCAGGACTACACTTTGAATAGTATGCTCTAGAAAAGGAATTTATTCAGAAACTAGTTATATTGTTGTTTTAAAAATTTTGTCAAGAAAATAAGAACAACAACAACTACTACTGTCACAGTAGGTGGATAGCCAGACTCGAGCAGGTAGGGTGTTGGGGACTTTGGCTGGTATTTACATTTGGTTAGATGCTTGTTTATATTCTAATACTCCATGTAAACTGCTGTCGGGGATGTCGGGAGTCAGAGGTAGGTAACAGAACTGCCAAGACTGATAGGTTCCAACATGAAGGAGACATGGACCCAGATTTCACCTCAAAATACATTATACACTCATTAGTGTACAAAAGTCACACCCTTTAGCACATGACAGTTTTGAGGCAGATTCTCTAAGGACAAAATAAGGCATCTCACCATTTCCTGGAAATTCCCTCCCTGAACTGAGAAAACCCCACCTATCCTGATGAATGTTCTGCCCCCTGCTTTAACTCCAGTTATAAGACCATCCAACTCGAACCCCACCATGGTGTTCCTGTCTGGAGCACACCGGCACTCTCTCCTTGAGTTTGTACTTTGCTTTATTAAACTACTCTTTCCTTGTACCTGCTCTACCTGCTCGTGAATTCTTTCTCACTCAAGAACCCTCCTTTGGGTTGAGGTCTCACCTACTGCACAGGGAAATATCCCCAGCTGGATTGCCCAACACTACCAAAGCATAAAATGAACCAAATATACAAACATGTGTAATAAAGATATCTCATTATATATAAATTTATACCTACAAAAAGAAATTATAATACTTTCTTCCTGATTGTAGGAGACCTAAAAAGCATCTCTTGAGGTGACCTAGAAATATAAAACATAAATAAATAAACTATAATTTCCATCAACTCAGAAGCAAGACTTTTGAACATTTTGGAGCATTTCCTTCTGGTCTTTCTTGTATGGCTAATAACTTTTGAATGTTAATTGATAAGAATGCTTCAGAGAAAGGTAAGTGGGTTTTAACCATGAAAAATAAAGGAAACCAAATTCACCTTTTAAAATCAGAGTTAAATCTATTACAAATCAGTATTAATCACAGAAGTAAAATGTCTTAAAATGGAAACATAACAGGCTTGGAGCTGTCAAAGAAGGGTAATAAGCACAGTTTGGGGTATGCTATTCTAAGATCCACAATAGTATCAATATTTTGTGGTAGTGTTATTTAATCAGGTACTGATAATTGTGTTTTGAAGTACTTGATTTTGTAAGACTTTTCTGAATTTTTCAGTATGCTTTTATAACCTGGGGCCAAATGTATTTTCCACAGGAACACAGCTCTAGTTTTACAATGGAAGTCAATGCAGAAAATCAGAACATTTCTAGAAAATTACTTTGCAGTTGACATAGGATACATGATTTCAAAAGTGACATGCCCCATACCTAAAGTTCTTTTTTATGCCATGAAAGTATTAGCATTCACACTAGCAACACCACCACCTCTTCCCTGCTAACAAGTTACATTAAACCTTTCAACCTCAAGTCCATTTTGATGTCAACACACCTAAAAAATCAAGGCATTTCTGACTTACTCTACCTTTTTTTTTTTTTTACCAACAAAAGATTTGTCTGCAATTCTGCATACACGTTTTGATTTTACCTTTGACAATATCAGAGTACATTTTTTGATTTTTAAGAAAGTGTTAAACACCCTGTTTAAGAGTTACAGAAATAAGGCAATACTTGTTCATTTGTGAGAGTAGAATGAAAGTGAGATTTGTTTTCTAGTCTCTCTTCCCTAAATTGAACAGACTCACTTTGCAAACGTCACTTACTGGTACTCTGTTGGCAAGGCAAAGTACTAAACTGTTTATATATTTCCAAAGGCTCAATATCTGTACAACATGGAGTAAAAGCCGCAGATAAAAAAGGCAAAACCTGTTTGTTCCCCATTTATCGTAACAATTTTTCACCAGCTCAATTATATTCATGGAGTGATACACAATTTCATAAATTTGCTCTCCTAGAACAAAAACTGATTTCAGAAATTCTGTCTGTATACCAAAGTGACAAATCTGAAAAAAATTTTGGAAATGGTTTATCTTAGAAATAAGAAATGGAAAACATCCCAATCTCCAAACCCTTCCCTTATCTTCAAAGTGATTACTTTGTAAAAGGGATAGAGGGCATGAGTCAGCACTGAAATCTTTCATAAGTGTAACCACATCACCAAATCCTACTTGAGGCTGCAGGTAAAAAAGAACTAGACCCCATCATTTTGTTAGGTAGGAAAATAGATACAAGCAGGGTGGAGAGAGAATAAGGCCAGTAAAGCCCACTAGAATGGACTCAAAGGGTTAACCAGATAAAACTAGAGAGCCAGAAAAGACTCACAGACTAATGAGTTAATCAGTTGAAGCTCCAAAGGCCAGGAGTCACTTGGAATATCCAGATATTCCCCAGATAAATAAAAGTAACCCACCACAGCTCATGTCTTCACTATGTCCAATTAGAACAAGCCATTGTAAGATTTACTTTAGCCTGCTAAAACGCCCAGCTTAATCTTTAACTTAACCTATATGCTGTTTTTTTCCCCCTCCTCAAGCCCCTAATCAAGTACTTTTGTAACCAGGACAGGAGCCAAACATCATGGTTAACTTTTCCTGCCTTTGATGAAAGAAGCCCAGAGATAAACAGCATAGTAACAACAGCAAAGATTCCATCTTAAAGCTAAGATTCCAGTTTAAAAGCCAGGAAGTTAGGAAGTAAGATTCCTAACTTATTCTTTAGCAAACAGACAATAACTCAGCCCACTTTGGGGGCTAGGCAGGCGGTCTTGATTGATATGTTCCCAGAGGGAAGCTGCTATCCTGGGGAGGAACTGGATCAGAAAATTTCTTCTGTTAATTTTGCAGAATTACCTGGAGGACTGATAATAGTAGAGAAGAGACTCTCACCAAAGATAAACAACTTGAGACCACTTAACAAGTCTACATCCCCTGGCCCTTTGAAAAATCCTTAAAAGAGGGAACCCCCAACCTTTCAGAAAGCCTCCTCTCTAAGGAGGCCAGCACTTTCTCTGTCTTAAAGTGCTAACTTTAAATAAAACTTTTATTCTGCTTCACTACTACTGTGTCTCTGCCCTTCAATTCTTTGTTGCAGCGGGGACAACTGAGGAAAATAAACAACTGTACCCTAACAATTTCCTCTGCATACCTTTATTTCATTTAGATCACCTTATTTTCTTGAGCAGCCACTAAATACAAGCTACTGGTTAGTACTATGCTAAGCATTATGAATGATACAATGATCATTAAAGCTTAATCCAGACCCTGAGGAAATTTATCATTGAATATTACAAATAATTTGTACCATCATCAATTTGAATTTGTATAGGACTTTACCATTTACAATACACTTTTATTTTTTTACCATTTACGATACACTTTTCCTTCCATAATGCCCCATATTCTTTGTAAGAAAGTTATCAAAAGGAAGAAAATATCACTACTAAAATTTTAGAGTTGTGGAAACTTGAGATAAAGGGCACTCAATAAATCTAGAGTTAGAATGTAGAGAAGGGTAGGAGAATATGCCACCCCCAAAATATGCCTCTTTGCATAGACTATTTTGAGCTGATTGAGAAACCAAAGACACAGGAAAAGCTCTGAAATGAATCAAAGTTACCCTTTTGAAAGGGAAATTTACATTTATAAAGAAATTTCCATTTGTACGGGTGTCTCCCTCTGTTCCAGGAAGAGGATGGCTCTAAAGAGACTCAGTGGTGTCAAGTGTATCTGTGAGGAAGTTGCAGATCTCTATCTGCATAACAACCTTAAATAGTTTATGGAGCTCTCCCTGGTAAACTCTCCACCCACACCGCCCCCATAACTAGCATCCTCCCTCACACCTTTCTTTTGTCTTTGGGTGAAGATGATATTTAAACTGATGGTTTAAGCTACCTCTGGGAGTTACTTATTTTTCCATGGTCATCTCCATGTATCCATGAGGTATATACATTAATAAACTTCTGTCTGGTTTTCTCTTGCT